CATGCAAAAGTAAAAGCATGCATGTGTCAGAAAAAGTACATCACTTTTTTAAAGAAAGAAAACGCTTCAATGACCGGAAAAGGACAAAAAGGTTCCTAGGTCTCTGCTAAATTCAAACATTACTGCTGACAAGGCAAAGAAGACTTCATGCAATATCTATGAACATGAAACAACATTTAATGCAAAATATCAAGCATTAAATGGGAAGATTGAACTAGTCATAAACGACTACATCTGCTTCAACAGATACTTGCAACGAGCAAATTTTACAAGACAATATATATCACTACTTCAAACCTTAAGAGGTTGGCTTTTGCATTTTTAACAAAGAGTGATATCAAGCCCATGAAGCAGCGAACTCAGAGATAGAGAGTATAGAGTCAAATGTACCATAAGATAACTATCTCTGTAGACTAAGGAGTTCCAAGTGCATCTTAGGAACATGAACCTTAGTGAGTGTATTCATTTTTGTATCCTCTTTGTGAGAGTAAGCCAAACACTTAATCGTTGTTAGACTAAGGTTGCAGACCTTAGTGAGTGTACAAACTTATGTATTCTCTCTATGAGAGTAATCCAAACACTCAAACCAAATCTGTTTAGTCATCATATGTAAAGCTTGAAGAGGCTAGGGAAAGAATAATTGTTAAACTCAAAGAATACTCACTGCGAGCCAGAAGTGGCTGATTAAAGAATACTAGAGTCGATGAGTGAAGTTGACGGGCCAGGAGTTGGTCGACAATACTCACTGAGAGCCAGAAGTGACTGATCAAAGAATACTAGAGCTAGTGGTGAATTTAGTGGGCTAGGAGTTGGTCGAGAATACTCACTGTGAGCTAGAAGTGGTTGAGCAAAGAATACTAGCATTAGCAAGTGAAGTTGACGAGCCAGGAATGGTTGATAATACTTGCACTAGGAGTGGTCGTGACCTGGGTGGTCTATAATACTCACTGCGAGCTTGAAGAGGCTGAACAAATAATACTTGTATTTCATTGAAAATCTAGTGAAACCCTTTATTTGAAAGAGACTAGACGTAGCTCAGTTTGAGTTAACCAGTATAAAAATACTTGCATTATACTTTAATGTTTTCAGACGCACTTTTATTTGAATGTTTAAAATACTGAAAACTTCGTCTAATGCTTATTGTCTATTAAAGCTATCTTTAGACGAAAATCACACTTATTCAATTTGTTATCTGAAAGAACGATTTTCGTCTAAGAAGGTTTTTGCTTAAGCAGACAATAAACTCCCAGACGCAAAAGTATCTTGTTGAACCAATCCTGGGCAATTCTAGTTTATTATTCATTATCATTATTTTACTGGACGAAAAGGAGCATTCTTGCGAAAACGTTTGTAAAGTTCCTTTGTTCACACACACACATATTCAACCTCCCCTTCTATGTGTTTTTCATCTAACTTCAAACCCGACTTCTCAATGCCTTGTAAAACCATGAAATTTTGATGAATAATAATGAAAGGGAGGCAGTTTGACCAATAAATTTGAAAAGAGTGACTCTGACACAAAAAATTCATGATGAGAGGCATGTTTTCAAAAGCAAGCTATGTGTAAAATGTTGCTTTTGGTGACAATTAGAAGCTATGTGTAAAATGTTGTTTCAAAGTATGAAACTTATTTAGATTGAGTTGAAACTTTCTAGTATAACTAAATCACTTAAATATAGTGTATGTTTATATAATCAATCTTACTTTAGCTTAAGGTTTATTGTTTCGTTAAATAAGAAAACTAATAGATATCAAACAATAATATTAGTGAAAAATATGAGAAAATGGATAAGGCACTCATTAATTTTTCACCACAATCTCACCAAATTATACGTGTTTTACCTCAAGCTTACACAAGCTTTCTACAAAGTATTCTTTACATGCCTTCACAGGCTTCCTACCCAACCAATATTCTTATCCTTTGCATGTTTTAATAACTCTTTAAGTATCATTTCTCCAAGTATTTTAGGGTTATGAACACCCAAGTATTCTCCATCAAGTTTCTTTAAGCTCTACCTACAACTCAACAATCTTATCCCACAATAAACCCACTTATGTGAAAGATCATACTCTAGAAGTATTAATCCACCTAGGTGATCTTTTTATGTTCCAATTTATCATTTTATTCATTGGACAAATTTATTTTTCTCTTTCAAATCACTCAATGAGCAGTACTATGAGTAAAGAACAAGTTGTATTGAGTTTACCTATAACTTGACTCGATTCAAAATTTTGACTAAACCTAATTAAAACCCAAAATAAATGAGACAAGACCAGATCAATCTAATATTTTAACATAATATATTAATATTAGTATTATGTATATTTAAATAGTAGAATAAAAGAGGTATAAAAATCAAATTAGGTATGTTTTACAATATACATTTTAAAATAAATGCTATTATAAGTATAATATAATAAATAACGTGATCCACAAAATTTTATCTATTAAATACAATATTTTATTTTTAATACATGATTATTAAAAAAAACATATTTCTTAAAAGAGTGATAACACTACATAATTGGAACGATTTGAAAGATAATGTACATTAGTTCTAATAAAAATTACACATACTTTTAAAACTCAAACATGTATTTTCATCTATATGTTTAGTTGGGCCTGTAGATCGGATCATGTCTTGCTCACCTTTAATGAGTCTATACAAAATTATACAAAGACTTACATAGACATTCTTAAGATGTTACAAAATAATGGACAATAACAACTAGTTTTTGGCAAAGAAAAATTCAACTATATTTTTCTTTCTCTAGAAGTACTAATTTTTTAAATGACCCCAACTGTGCTGTTTTTCTTCCTTGCAACGAGTTCCTCGAATTAAGGGTGTATCTGCTCTTGAGCTTCAAATACATTAGGTTAAAAATCTAATTTGGTCCTTTATAATATTTGTTTGTTTCAATTTAGTCCCATTTTAATTTTTTGTTTCAATTTGATCCCTAATAATTAAAATTATTGCAATGTCGGACTTCCGTCCAAATTATTTAAACGGAGTTAACTGTTGGCCACGTGGATGCTAGGTGGATGCCACGTAGATGCATAGATGGATGTCAAATTTCATGAATACACCTGAAACCAGAACGACCCGTTCTGGTTGCACATGTTATGTGTTAATTTTGCATCTGGAATGGGCCGTTCCAAATGCAAATTTAACACACCATGAGTGTAGAAGAACGGGCCGTTCTAGTTTTAGAACGAGCCGTTCTAGATTCAGAACAACCCATTCCAAAACGCCAACCATATACGTACGTTCAACCAAATACTGCAATGTGATTCAAAAATTAAAAATAAAAATTCATAACAGATCATAAATTCAAAGACAGAAACATGGTTCAGAAACTGAAAACAAAAATTCAAAACATAACATATACTAAAAAAGTTCAAAGAAATTACTGAGAAGGGAAATCATTTGGATAACACTGAAGGGAAATCCTAAATCACAAAAATTCAGGTTGTACCTCCTCAATAACAGATTGTTATTGTTGGGGTACATCATTAATGACTTCAAGGGGAAACACCGTTTCATCCTTGACTGTATAATATCAATTTAGTAGTAAGTGGTTCACTCCAGTTTGACTAACAATAAAATAAAACCTGCTACCATTGTCCTTAGTGATGATACACTGTATTGTCCTTAATGATACACTGTATAGCCCAAATGTTTAGCAATTGAAGTTACCAATCCCCATTGACAATATTACCAAATCCAGTGTTTGAAATACTTTGTACCTTGGGTCTTTTTCCTTGCACGATTCATAACTGTGAACTGTAATCATCGACCAGTTGTGTTTGGCATTATAGAACTAGAACAGCCCGTTCCGAAACCAGAACGGCCCGTTCTGGTTACACTATTAGTTTGTCAATTTTGCATCTAAAACGACCTGTTCCAAGTGTAAAATTAACACCCCAAAAGTGCAACCAGAATGAGCCATTCTGGTTTCAGAACAGGTCATTCTAGTTTCAGACCGGACTGTTCTAGTTTTAGGTGTATTCAAGAAATTTGACATCCACCTATGCATCTACGTGACAGTTAATTCCGTTTAAATAATTTGGACGAAAGTCTGACATTGTACTAATTTAAATTATTAGGGACCAAATTGAAACAAAAAATTAGAGTAAAATTAAATTGAAACAAACAAATATTATAAGGAAACAAATTAGTATTTTAACTAATACATTATTTATGGCTATTACGAATAAATTCAAACTCCGATAAAAGGTATGTGTTGTCCCTTTTATGTACCTATTAATTGATTATTTTGTTTATCTCCTTTGTGGCTTCCAAAATCTTTTCTCTTACCATCTTTTGTATATTTTAAAATCACTAACAGCTATGCGAATTAGCCAATGTGAGTGAAACTGTCAAAATGAGTGGACTTGATTCACCCCCTAAGTTGACCCCAAAATGATGAACTAACTTATCATAAGTTGATTAATTATACAAGTTAACTCAATTAAAAAATAAAGTAAAACCATTCTTTTGATACACAATTTGAAACTTTATGTTTATTTTTTAACAATTCCGCCCCCCCCCCCCTTTTGTTACTTTATAAAAGCTGATTTTTTTATTGTATCCTAATAAAATTAAACATCTTAAATCACTTTTTAACCAACTTATCCAAACAAAATTTCATTTTGATTATAATCAATTATAAAAATAATCTAGTATTCATATAACAAATTAAAATAATCTAATTTTCACAACTTTTTTAAACACCCTAATATTTAATATTGTAATGTGAATTATAGTCAAGTGCACTACTTATATATATATATATATATACTCAAACTCATTGGATAAGTTAAAATGATTTTGTCAATTTATATTCTTGATAGTATAATCAAAAGGTACAACCCGATGAAAATAGACGATTTAGATATATTACAGCAATGCACCCTTCACATTGTATTACCTCTTGCTGCGTCGTTTTAAATTGAAGGGTCAGAGGAAGAGATGAATTAATTGGGCAGGCGATACGTATAAGGGAAGTCATTTGCATCCTTTAACATAAAGCTAATTTACAACTAAGAAAACTAAATTTCAAAAAAGAAATATAATACAAGAAACCAAAAAATTATAAAATAAATGAAAAAAAACAGATTATACTATACAAATTGAGGAAGAAGAAACCAATGAAGATAAACGCCGCCTATACAAGATCATGCAGTTTCAACTTTCAAGTTGGACAATGAACAAGGGTGCCAATTATAGCCAAGCTCCCCAACCCGGAAACATTTGACACAATCGCTCGGGATCAATTGCATCTTGGATGAGTTGTTGTACCTGCAAGTAAAGTACCACAATTATTTTTTTCATGGGATAATTTTGAACATGTACATTTAGATTTCACTTCATCTTCGTATCACCAATGATAAAAGTTGCCAGTTGGTATTTACAATATTTTGGCATTTGAAGAACATTATTCTCCAGTACGATGGATGTATCAGTTTGGTATGAATGTCCGACTAGTCAAATATGAACGCGCAATGTGCATTACATGCAAGACCCTTAAAGCTAAACATCGCTCATTTTAACTAGTTTAGGTTCTAACTTCCAATTGTACTATTTGCATTACTAAAAAAAATGCATATCCAACCCCCTTTATCAGCTAAAATATTGAATGAAGATGAAAATGAAAAAAAAAAAGAACAAATCTTTTTTAGTCATTTGAAAGAGATAACGAAACAAAATACCTGCCCATGGATGCTTCGCATTTCGCCATCTTCATACCCATCTAGCTTTTGCTTGACACGTAAAAGTGCACGTGCAGCATCCTTATTTCCTTGGTAATCATTTTGTGGTTCCTCCAAACTTGTATCCAAATCATCATCCATTTCCTGTGGAGAAAAAGAAGAAATGTCACACTGCAAGTAAATTATGTAATGCAACTAACATATTTACAGCCAGACTAAAATCTACCACCAGCAACATTATTGAGAACAAAAAGAATACCCACGGTCATTATAGAGGAATTTGTAGAGGTTTTCAGTTCTATTATATAGCTTATTTCCACAATTCATGATAAGTGCTAATTTCTGCTAGTCACCGAACCCTCCTCATACTATAAGACGCTGGACATTTATTAGTTAAAAAAAAGAAAATAACATAAGGGTTTAAACTCTAAAGTACCTTTTGACGCTGCAAAGCTTTCAGAGGAGATAAAGCCCACTTATAAAGAGGATCGTGGATAAAAACCTGTAGAGGACACTCGTTTGTTATGAAGAGAATGTAGAGATGGAAGTTTAATTCATACTACATAAAACTGAGTAAAGTATGATTACTTCTACAATCGTCAATAATGCTTCTTTGTTTGTCCGCATAACAGAGAGTGTTTCCTCACAACATCTTCGGAAAACCCCCTCTACTCCAGTTACACCCATTCCATCAATTATGTCCCTTGTAAGCCTAAATGGAACCTGCCAGCAGTTACAGATGATATCAGCAATTCAGATGAAGTAATGAAATGAGCGCATGACTAAGGACTAACAAGTACATACCCTTTCTGGGGTCTTAAGCATCAAACCTTGTTCAAAAGCAACACCAAGATCTATGTGAACAACCTCTGCAGTGGCCTGATCAATTAAAATATTCATCGAATGTCGATCTCCAAGACCAACAATATAACCAACCTGAGAATATGAATCAACTAATAAATATACTACCAAGGATTGTGATATATTGATGTAGATGACATTTTGGTGACATTCCAGATAGAAAATACTTCAAATTAAAAACTATTTTAAAGAAAATAGAAATCAAATATAATGGTGGAATTGGATCACGTGATGGACAACATATGAAGGGTTAGTTCAGAAGTCAGTAGCAGGTTACACTATCACAATGGTAGATTTTGCTTTCAAAATTGAGAAAAAAAAAATATAAAACCTTCAAACAGGCGCACTTGAGAGGGATTTAATTTTAATTTGAATTAATCCTTCTATTTGTGTGTTAGTGTTGAGTGGGCATCTCCAATTTTACTTGAACAAAGACCATCAATTCTTCAGTTAAGATACCTTCAAAAATATAACGTCAAGGCAGACATGAATGGAAAAGTATAATGCTCTTACCATAGAACTAGCAGCAACACTTCGGGTATAAGCAAGTCTCTTTTCAAACCACTCAGCTGGCTGTAAAAATCTCTCCAAGAAAAAGTAATGCATAACAGGCCTGCACGAATATATGATTAAGCAATGAAGTTGATTATGTGTTCTTGGTCCTTCAAAAGATAAGTATAGGAAAGACACCTGAAATTATTGCAAACTTGTTGGAATGCTTTGCGCTTGTCCCTCTCCTATCAAGAAAACATTGCACGAATTACTACGATGTTAGACAAAAAGGTGTAATATATATTGAAACTTTATTATATATTTATGCCGTGTCAATCTCTATCCTCAGTTTTTTTGTATTGCATTCACTTTTTTCAATGCTTAGTGTAATAGTTGAATAAGTAAAGTGATAGTGAAGTATTTGAAAATGAATCTCACTTAATGCATATCAGCATATGTACTAAAAGTCTAAAACATTACCAAAGTAACAGCTTCACCAAATTCAATATAAACTAAAATTGTAGCATAATTCATTCTATTTTGTTGATGATGATCTCATTAATCATTTGCTTTAAAGATTAATTAGAAATATTTTGGGAAAATAGAGTGCACAAAACATTGAATAGTCCAAATTCTAAGAGATATTTTACAATTTTTAGTTGTAGAAATGCTGATACACACATTTTCTTAACATTTCTACATGGTATCAGTACTATAAAGCTTTTTCTTTTCCCCTGATTCTTTTTCATTTCACACACAAACAGTAACCTCATGAACAGTAACTGCAACCACTGTGCTGCTGTTTGCTGCTTCACTGTGCCTCCATTTACTGGTGTGACCCTCCAATCAGAAGGCCTGCCTCCAGAGACCAGTTCTGTCTAAGTACCTCTGCCGTCTGCCACCTCATATGCCACATTCCAGCAGGTACTGTTCATGGGCCCGTCCAAAACGTTTTTTGCATGTTCAACTTGTGCCCACTTGTTGATACTCTTTTCTTTGGCCTTCCACCATTCCGGCAACCCTTCCCATCTAATTTTTGTTTTTTGCTACTATTTCATGGTGACTTCAAGTTCAAGGTCTGATTCCAGATCTGTAGTAACTTTTACCATGGTTCCAATGATTCCGTACTAAAAATTGATCAATTGATCAGGACAACCAACTATAGCACTTAGGCTGCAGCTGTCCAGTTGTGGTTCCATGGCTAAGGTTGTCCAACTCACTTGACCATCCAAGCCAAGGATGTCCCTGCCTTCATTGGTAGAAAGATGATGCTTCCTTGTGTAGTATTCTATGGTTTTCTCTAGCTCCCAACCTCCAGCCCCAATTTCAGGCTTATTCATCTTATTATAATGTCTTGGAGATCCCATATTGATTAGTAAGATGGTGATATTGGTGTTAATTAGTGAGGAGCAATCTGTACTTTAGAAACCAATTTTGTATGGTTAAGTTAGGCTACAATTATACTTTATTAAGATGGTATCAAAGTTAATCATAGCAAATATTGTTAGGCCTATCAGGCCACCCACTACCATCAAACTGTTATTGAATCACCTGTAGATGTTAAGTTTTACAAACTTCACACTTGAAATGTCTAGTCTTCGACTTAGCATGAGGTGTGTGTTGAAGATTCTACATCAACTATTGAGATGGCCATACTAGTGTTTATAAGTGGAGAACAATTCTCACCTTACAAACCGATTTGTAAGGTTGAGTTAAGCTCCAATTCTATTTTCTTAAGAATAGTAAACAATTTTTCTTTTTCCCCTTCTCCCCCCCCCCCCCCTTTT